CTACCCACGCCACATGCACTACCACGCCACGCCACCATTATAAAGTTACCAAATTGTACCATATTTACCAATTTTTATAACTTATTATAAAACTATATTTAATTGCTAATTTTAGCAAAATCATTACTAAAGCGCTTCATTAAAACGAGTTTTTTGGTGTTCCCATAGAGCCAGAAGCACGGTAAATTTCACCTTATTCTGCTAGTTTTAACCATAAATTTGTTAAAAGTTGTTAATTACTTTTTATGTAAGCCAAAAGCTAACTTTTGATTTCTTTTAAAACTGCCAAGTTGCCATGGCAACGTCTTTTTGTGGAACAAGAAATGAACGTCTGAAAATTATTATGTAAATAAAATGTTGTTCTTTTTTATTAAAAGTTGGAGTCAGATTTATTATTTAGATTAGAAGTAGAGAACGACAGAATATTTTACTTTCTGATAGAGTCTCGTAACATTTTGGTAACCTGAGGACATGATATTACGAAGTAATCCGAACTTGCATATGAAGTATTTTCAATAATACGTTGGATAAAATTCAAAAACAACGGAAGATTGTTCGAAGCTCCTTCACTCGGTTAAGTAATCAGATTTTATATTAAATGAAATCAGCTGAAACCAAAGATTTGGTACAAGTTAAAGCTAAATTTAAAACGTTGAAAATAAAAATAAAAAAGAACTTCAAAAGTTGGATAACGAATTATTGGAAGTTATGCTGCAGTCCGATGATATTACAGAAGAAGAAATTGAAAATGAAAGTAAGTCAATTGACGATTATTGTAATAATTATTATGAAGTTGAAACAATTTTTGACGAATATTTTAAAGAGCTTAATGAAGAAAATTCATCGACGTACATAGAACAGCCGAATCGCAAATTCAAACTTCCTAAAATTGAGCTTGCCAAATATGACGGTATAAAAGGCTGGTTATCATTTTGGTCATTGTTTAAAAAAATAGATGAAGATTTAACTTTAGATCCTGGTGATAAATTTCAATATCTTATACAATGTACGGTTGACAATTCTCGTGCTAGAGAACTTGTTTTAAGTTATCCGGCAACAGCCGAAAATTATTCAAAAGTCATAGAAAGCTTCAAATCTCGATTTGGCAAAGATGATATTTTAGTTGAGTTTTACATTAGAGAATTTTTATCTTTAGTCAGACAAAACACAAAATCACAAATGGTTTTTTCACTATATGACCAAATAGAATCACAATTAAGGGCTTTGGAATCATTGGATATAACCACTAAAATGTATGATGCAATTTTATTCCTGTTAGTGGAGTCATGTATTTCTTTAAGTGTGGCAAAGGCAGTCGAAAATTAGCGACTCTCCTAAAGATAGACTTGATGGTCTTGTGTCATTTATGAGAAGTGAGGTAGAAAGTGAACAGAGAATTTCGATGGCTGTTGGCGGTTTTGACTTCAAGAAGCCTAAATTGATGAAAGACGAAATATCGCCAAATGCGCATGATAAAGTAGTACCAACTGCAAACGATTTATTTTCTGGTTCCTCACTTCTCATAAATGACATCAGACCATCAAATCTATCTTTCGGAGTGTCGCCAATTTTCGACTGCCTTTGTCACACTCTAAGAAACTCCTCAGGAATTCAAGAATAAAATTTTTTCTCCGTGCAGTGCTTTATTATTCACTTCAATGAAATTAAATCTGAGCTAATGAAAAAATAGCAATTGAATTGAGATTCTGTAGAAACCATTAACGAAATGCAAAATAATGTTTCACATCTAATTTTAATTTTAACACTTTATTTTTGTAACTAGTTTTAAACGTTATATTAATTTATTCGATACGGGTATTATTATGGAATAAAAATTGCTCTTTATCGATTTAATTTGAAATGACTTTATTTTATATAATAAAAAATTTCCATTGCAAACATTTAATGTGAATGGAGAATGTTTTCAAAATTTCTCAATATAAAATGCTTACTACTTCTATAATTGTATTAGGTATCATTTTAAGTAAATAGGCGTGAAAGAAATTAAATATAATTCTTCAACAAACATACCTCACAGAATTGCCGAATTCGCATATATCCTTACACAATATAATTTATCAAATAATAATAAAATAGATTTTTTTTCATGATTCGAGAACCAACCTATGCTTATAAATGATTATTACTATATTATTTTAAAAAGAAACTTAATTTTTCCTTAAAATTTGATAAAACTTGTCCCTCTTAGAATTTTTTTTAAAAAAATTAATTATCTATTTAACAATTTTAATTTTAACTAATAAAAATACATACAAATAAAACCACAAAAAAAGGGGGAAAATAAAATTTATTATTTTTAAGGTAATATTCAATTTTCATTTTGATATTTTGAAACAAAAATCAGTTGATAATCTGTTTGATAATAATTTTTTTTTTCGTGATTAGGAGTCTAACGGTTAAGGTTTTTAAACCGTTCAATACAGTAGTTAAATTAGATTAATCACTCAAAATCAGCACAAAAAATTATTCGGATTTATGCTTATTAGCTTATTTTACATTTTGTAGTTAGCATTCTAAGTTTTTTGTTGTCTAATTTTAGCAATCTCTAAAGAGAAAGTGGATATTAAAAAAAAGGATTTTAGAAACTAAGAGTAATGATATATATTTGATAGATAAGACTGCTGTTCACTAATTGCATTAAATAATTGGCAAACTCTATATATTTTCCGAAACAAATCAGTTAAAATTAACTTCACAGTTTTCTTAAATCAAAATTACAAACTATTTTTAAACAATAATTAATAATCGGAAGAAAATATATATTTTTATTGAAAAACAAAAAATAGAAAACAATTTTCTTAAAATTAGCAGCTTTATAATTTTTTTAATTGTTTGCTCTTAAAGATGTGTTCTTTCTTATTATGAAATAATTTTTTTTTTTAAAACTTAACAGATCAGATATTTTTTGTGGTAATGAACTAATTTATTGCAAGTTATTATTCTCGTTTGCTTTTTTTAGCGATTTAAAATTAGAGATAGAGAGTTAAAAAGAATTTTATTTCAGACATTTCGTAAAATTCTACAACTAAGAAGGTTAGTGCTTTTTTGAAATATGAGATTTACTGAAAAATTTTTTACGAGTAAGAGTTTTAGAAATTTAATAACATAAAAGTTTTAACGACGTTCAAATTTTCTAGTCAGCATTTTCAAAGTATGAAAAATCGATATAAGATCATTCAGTATCGCTATAAAATGTTATTTTATCATCGTTTGCATGACTACTAAAATGTTTGGACACATTCATAACAATTTTTCATCATACGTAAGTTATTTAATTTATAATATTTGTTTAATTTAAAATTTTCCTTTAATCTGCATAACACTTTCATTAAATTATTGTAAGCCAAATCGAGAATGTTTTGTTTTATTATTATTATTTATTTGAATATTTAAAACTTTATTTTAAATCGAACGAACCTTTCCAAATACTAATTAGTTTAATATTAAATACACAATTTTTAATTTAATAATTTCTTATTGCTGATTTTTGTTAGATCTTTCAAATTTATCTTATCATAAGACGAAAATAAATATAATAGTTTTTCATTCGTAAAGTTAAAGTATTTGAATAGAAGAAAGTTTCTAGCTGAAACACTAGCTATAATGATGGATCAAATTTGTTTTTTAGTTCAGTGTATTAATGACCTATGATCTTCTAAAATAGCAACTTTTAACAACTAATCGCATATACTATTTTATTCACACGGATATTGTCTTTAGTTTTAAATTTCTTTCTTACACGATTTACATAATATAATAAAATGTCATTAACTATTTGTCGTTTTTTTTATTTATTTATTTTTTTTATTTTTTTATAACAGGATGATATGTAATGATCCCCGTTAATACATAATTGTTGAATCTTCATCAAAAAGAAACCGAAACCTAAAAAGTACACACATTAGGATTGAAAAGTTAATAATTAAGCTTTGAAAAAGCATAAAAATGCTATTTTTATCAAGCCAATCTTTACTAAATAAAGATAAAGCTAAAAATATCAAAACTAGATAGGTTATGGAGGGAAAGAGAGCGGGTTTCGAAATAAATTATTATAAACATTCCTCAAGTTTCATCAGGCAATCAAATTGGTTTTGATATTTTTTTCCTTCCATCTTCCTCATTAGAGATTTGATAAATACCTGTAAGTTTCTTTTTCCTCTTAAATAATAATTAGCGATCCCTATAATATGTATAGGGGATATACATATTACGTCCACTACATCCGCCAAGGAGCCAGACAGATTTTAAACAATTAGAAAAAAACATGTTGAGTTTCGCCAGGGGGTGGCTACGAGTTATACCCTTCAAATTGGTCCCCTGCTATGATGTTTTTTCTGCTAAGTTTTCGCGGGCCTCTGCCCGAAAATTGCCAAGACTTGGCGATTATTCTACCACAGATCACGATACGGAAATTTTCCTCGTGTATATTTTTTAGACTTCATAATTGACAAGAATTCTAAAATGAAAGGCCAGTATTTCCATATTAAAGGCCAGCATTTCTGAATACAGAAATAAAATTAAAGTGAGAAAAACTTAATTACTTGTTTTTCTAATTTAGTATCTGTTTTTAATTTTAATAAATACAAAAATTGTGTTAGAAGCGTCAATTATTTGTGCCAATTTTTTTTACAAATGTCTTTAATTTTTTTCCCCTTCATTCAGTAAAATTACAAATTTTTGTTTTCAGGTTTTCCCATTATTAAAAAGCTATCACTTTTTTTAATCTAAATCTGTGTAACTTATCTTCTACTTACAAGGAAATGGTAAAACTAATGTCGTTATTGCTGTAGATTAGAAAACATATTATCCGGTGATTGAACATGGTTACTAACTTCAAATTACCAACATTATTTGATAACTGTATAATACACACACGTTAGAGCACAACACAGATAGAAATATGAGAATTATTTTAGATTTACATGTACTTAATTTTTCTCCTTCGTTTAATTAAAATATTATTTTAGACATACACTTACCTCTATTAGTTTAATTCGCTGATCTTCTTGGAGAACGTAGTCTAGTTTTCCGTTAACCATGTTCATATCCAAGTAATTAAGACTGCTGCAAAGAAAAAGCCAGATTTTATTAGGACTACACATTTAAGAGGAGTATTTATTTTTAAACCATAAGAAGTACATTCATATTATTTCTTTGTAAAATATAAAATCTTATACTTTTAAGGGATTTATGTATTCATATTTTGAGGATGTATAACTAAACATTTTCTTTTTACAACTCGATGTTTATTTTTATAATCAGCTATAGTAAGTCAACCAGAAACAAATAAAAAATAAACTATCAAAACATGAGGAAAACATAAAAAATTTTGGAATTAATCATAAACATGATGTGTTTTATGATAAATGCAAGCCAAAATCCACACACTCACAAAAGCAGACTCGTTAAAAACTTGGAATTATTTTTATAATGTTAGATCAATTTTTAAGAAGTATATTTTGTACTTTAAATTTTATTTTACAACAATTTAAATACTTACAGCATGATTTCTCCATAACATCGTGATAAATGTTAAGCATATATCTATGTATATAAATAGATGTTAGGGATGTATCATTTTTATAAGCATAAAAATTTGCTTTTCTTCACAAAAATAATTTTATTTCATTTTAAAATATGAATATAGCCCTACATTTATAAATTCACAACAACATGTTTCAAGGTACATTCAATTTAGTATTTACTTAAATATTGACGTGGATATATTCCATGAGCAGATTATGCCAATTTCAAAGGTTATTGTACCGCAGTAACCGTATGAGCATCACTTGAATTGTGAAATCTTTAACAACTGGTTTGTAGGTTTCTTTATAAATGACCTTCTTTATTAAGGTCGGCGGATATAAAGTAAAAGAAGATATCCCCTTTCATTTGATGTCATTTGATGTAATACGACTTTTTATTTTTTTCAATGCTTTAAGAGTTCGATTTTTTTTTTTTACTACATTTCTACCAAGTTATAAATAAGTAAGTTTCAGAATTCTAAAATGGCTAGTTATGATGTTCGCTGCTAATATTTAAATCCCACGATGCATATTGTATTTGAAGTTTATTTATGTTTAAAACATGTTTGAAAAATTCTGAGGCAGATAACTAGACCAGTAATTCTTGCTCAGAGCGGAAATATAACTTCCTTAAAATTCCGGAATTCGTATTTCTTTTTTAAGCATACAGTTGTCATAATTTCCTTTTAATCTTATCTTCAACTATGAAATTATTAAACTTCTATTTTAAAAATTTCAAAAACACTTTCTATAAAGAAATATATTTCTAGAAAGTTCGAGAAATATTCTAGAAAAAAGAAAAGAATTCTAGACTACAAGAATATGGTAAAATTTGCCATGTTTCTGACTCTATGTGGACATCAAAAATCTCTGTAATTTTTACCCACGCGCTTTGTTAATGATTTTGTTAAAATTAACAGTAAAATATGATTTTGTAATGTGTGATAAAATTTGGTAATCTTATTTTGATACCTTAGATAGAACATGGCATAAAAACCATTTACTCGGTTAAATTTACTTTCCAGTTTTGTATTTTTTACTAAATGTATGATAATTAATAAGAACTATAATTTTAAAAATCACACTTTCCGGCAAACCATTGTCATATGAATGAAAAAATTACTAAACGTATGGTGTAAATACTGTATATTTTGGTTTTATTAAACATTATTGTTATTACTGTATGGTATGGTAATGTGACTGGATTTTTTTTCCGTGTTATAATAAAATATCCATAAAATGGAAGGCGCATACATGAACGTATGATTTATGTGTACAGTATTTAATTCATTTGTAAACTAAATTAATTTGATTTTAATGTAATACAGTGATAAATTTACATATTATGAAATTATCCTCAACTATATTATTATGTTACATATTAGTAAAAGTTTAAACTTAGCTGAATAAATTTCAAATGAAATAAATTATTCATAAAAGTAGTTTAATGAAAATCATTTTGCTCTTCAGAACTGAGTATATAGCTTCAAATCATTTGCATCAAAAGATAAAAATTGAAAAAGTATGTGTTGGCAAATATCACTCATTTCTCATGAAAATGCGAAGCATGAGCTTCCAAAAATCAGTGAGTATGTATTAGATTTTTTTTAATTCATTAATATATTTTTTTAAATTTCTTACAAGGTTATTGATTTTTCCATTCTAATCTCACCCTCATTCTATTTAAATATTAAAGTACCTCATATCTTATTTTTTAGATTTAAATGCTTGCTTTAATTTTTGAATGAGTTTAAATATTTCTACTATTTCATCACTGTCAACAAGCATGACTATGAATAAGTTCCATAAATTATGTGTATATATACAAAAATTTTCAGACAAAACGGAAAAAATAAGTTTAAAATATCCAAAAATTCAAAGTGAAATTGAATTTATATTTTCCGATTATTTATCTTCGATAATAAAATAGTTTTCTCGTTTACAAAGCATTTTTAAATATCGTGAGTAACTTATATAACATCAAAATAATAACACTTCATCTTACACATTTTCTTAATTAAAACTATCAATTTAAAAATTTGCATCAAAACATATTTCTTGATATAATTTGCACTGAACATTGCTCCCTTTAATGTCCTATATCACTATTTACACCATCATAAGCTAACAGGAATTATTAACAATTTTTAAAATACTATTTAATTTTTAAATTAGTCAATGGTAATAAATTATTACAGTTTTTTTCGTGTTTAGTAAAAATTTAATTTTATTAAATTATTAACTAGTTAATTAGTTTATATAAAGCAAACATTTCTGCAAATATAAATGCAAGATTTTTTTCTTGCTATCTCCAAAAATTATAAACTTTCCTAATTTAAGTTTTAAAAGTTTTAATAAATTTTGCTGAAATTTCAAAAGTCAATGAAATTTCCAGATTTTTTTTAATTATTAATAAATACTAAATAAATAACAATTTATGGTAGCATTTTGTTGTAATTTCCATCTGGTTCCACGATATTCAAAATCAGTGTACAATTTATTACTGAAAAATTACGACTTGGACGTAAAGAGTTAAATCAAAATATTATAGAAACCTTAACTATAACTGAAGAAAGTTACTGTAATTAATAGTTTTCCTTCAAACACTTCACATCATTTCATATGAAATAATCATGACTTCGCATTATGAAGCTATGGTTGGATTTTCAGAGTCTCAAAAATAATAATTTTTCCGATCTTACTTTTGAAAAATAAGTGAATAAAATGATTTCTCAAATAATTTTTTCAGCAATTTTCAATCTAATTTTACATCATTTAAATTAGTATGCAAAATGATATTTAAAGACTGCAACGTGTTGATTGTGGACAACTCACTAATTTATAAAAATTGAAATCATAACTGAACAAACTCACTTTAATTAACAGTTTTCTTTTGAACACAACTCATCATTCCATATCAAATTATCCTACTCCCACAGCTTTTGTTCATAGTCTTATTTTTTAGTTCATTTTAATTTGTTCTAAGTCTTAATGGTTTACCTGTTTTTTCGATATTTTTCTATAGAAAAATAGACAAATAAATGCATTTTTAAGCAATTATTTATTTGATTTTATGATATTTAAAATTAATGTAAAAATAATATTGAAAAATTGACCCTTGTACCAAATTCATAACAACTGAAATCATAACTGAACAAACTCACTTTAATTAATAGTTTTCGTTCAAAAACCACTCATCATCCCGTATGAGTTAATCATGACCGCTCAATATGAAGTCTACACACCAAATGAAAACTAAGAACGGATTCAACTCTGGAATCGTCGGTCGTCACTCCTTTCACCTATTATTCGACCGGTGTTCGAAAGTAGCGGATCGAATATCAGCGAAGAAAGTTTTTCTCTTGTGAATAAAAAAATAAATAATAAAAAACAGAATATATGAATAAGAAGAAAGAGGGAGAAAGGCGAAAAAAAATGCACTTTGAAAAACTAGGTTTCTGGAACAAGAACAAAAACTTCTAGAAAGATCCCAGTTGCTGTAATCGTCACCGTGCTCGTTCATCAAGTTTTCTGAAACAAACGATGCACAATGCACCTGACAAACCATTGCAGCAACCTGCTAAAATTCACCGAGGTTAAAGGATCGTTGTAAAAAGTTAGGGTATTGGCTGATATAGACAAATACAAAGCAGACATGAGTGGCGGGCGGAATCATATTTGTGTCAATGAACTTTTATGTTTGAGATTTATATCTTTATTCTATTGTAAGAATGCAGTAAGATTTATAGTTAATTTAAGGAATATAAAAGACTTTTTAAAATAGAATTGCTGCGCAACTTCAAATTGATCTGAAAATTCAAAATCATATAAACATGTAAATATCCCTAAATCACACTGAAACTGTCAATGTTTAAATCATGCTTCTTTTGATACACTTGTAAAATACTCAAGATTCAAAACGTATTTTGGCAATTCAATGATGACAATTTTTTTTAAAAAAAGTTCTCTGTGTTTTTTTTTAAATTTTTTTTTTATTTTAATCTTATCTTTTTACGACATGTACTGGTTTACGGAGTTTTCCACACCAAAACTAGTCAAAATTCTACAGACAATTGTCGATACAAACTGATTTCATGTTTGCTGGTGTCAGTAAACTTTGAAGTCTGATGAAGAGAAGAAGAGAGTGAGAAAAGAAGAAAAATTTCTGGACATTTTCAAAAGTGTGAAAAATTTATAATTTTTGATTGCTGCAATCAGAATGCCAATCTACATTATCTATATCGACATCACACTGATTTACTGAAGTCGTTGCAAGCTAATTGAAACGCTTTGTTTGAGATGGAGACACCACGAAAACGAAAGTATGAAAAGTGTTAGCGTTAATTTTTATTTAATTAAATATGAATATTCGATTTAAATGCTTTTTTTAAAATTTATATCTGATAAAATTTCATACTTCGTAATAAATTAAACTATTTTCTCAGAAATGAACTTAGTGCATTGGTTTTTAAACAAAAATTATTAAAATGGAATTGGGGTTGACTTGCAACTGCTCTTGAACACGATGTTTAAATTTTA